ATGAGAGCTTTATATTGAATTTTGAACTTATCCTTGCAATTTCTCTAGTTTTCTCCTTTTTGGGGCATGAATTTTTGTTTGTTCGGGGTTAGGCATTTCTTTTGGGCCTCTGCTTTCAACAATATCTGTTTTGATGCAAGAATTCTATAGCGAGGGCCTATGAACCTCACTATAAAATGACTCGTGTTAGAAGTTGAATTGCATTCTTCTTTTTCGGGAGGATTCTATAATGGGGGCCTTATATGTCGAGGGGGTGTGTGTTGAGAGGTTCAATCTAACCGGATAATAATAGCTCTGCAATTCATCTGATGGCTAGTAAGAACACCTCAACTTTCCCTTGGGAGAGCAAACTGGTTGCTGAGACTATTGTCCTGCAATTAGCTTCCCTGCTTCGTTTCTAATAACATCAACCATCCCCCTCTTGGTTACCTTGTCACCACAAGCTCCATCGAAATTCAACTGGAAGAAAGAAGCCAGTTTTGCAATGTGATAGTCTCCATAGAATATGATGCCAATATCTGAACTTGAAGAAACAAGCTCCATCAAAATACAAAAAGAAAAGGTAGATATTCTTACTACTCTTGTTCATTTCATTTCATTTCATTTTACAAAATTCTTCCTTGCCATCGAAATTCAACTGGAAGAAAGAAGCCAGTTTTGCAATGTGATAGTCTCCATAGAATATGATGCCAATATCTGAACTTGACGAAACAAGCTCCATCAAAATACAAAAAGAAAAGGTAGATATTCTTACCACTCTTGTTCATTTCATTTCATTTTACAAAATTCTTCCTTCAAAACCAAATCTGCATCGCCAACCACGGCTAAAAAAATGATATCTGTAGCTGGAATGAAGCCTCCCAATTTCAATGCAATTGGGTTGTGAAAACTAAACACTTGTGGCATTTGACAAGTCTTGAGTGTCCTGCAAGCCCTGAAGCTGAAGACAATTTTTAAAGAAAAACATTGGGTGTACTTCCTATATGAGTCCACAAGAAGATTCTGAACAACAGCATATTGCAAGGAAAGAAAACAGGTGATCCTAGAGTTTGATCTCCAATCTTGGTACAGGTAATAAACATGGAATCTATTTGCACAATCCACATTTGAAAAATCAGGGCCACTAACATGCATTATGACTATTATAAATCTTGAGATCAACTAAATTTACTGGCTCGTCAGTAACATGTACAACATGAAAAACTGTACTCATAAACTTGATAGCAGTTTCTTTATTACATACACTTATTGAATTAGATAATTACCAACACAATCTATATATGATTTAGGCATTTCCCTTGCTAGAGGCATACAAATTCTACGGTTGAAGGAACCTTTTCTATAAGCTGCTGCTTAGCAAGATTTCTTGCATTTTCTTCCCTCTCCACTTCTTCATTAGTCTTCTTTATTCTGTGCTTGGGAAAACAATAATGTGGTTCGATAGGATCAGCAGGATCAATAACAATTTTCTCCAGTTGAACAGCATTCTCTATCAAGTACTTGACAATTTCAAAATCACTTGCGCGACCATCATACCCTCCAATTTCCACTACCCTAAGGTACTCATGGGAGCATTTGGATGCCTTCTTAAATCTCGTTTCTATTCTCTCGCATAACGGGTACAACTGCACCAAGGAAACAATACAACAAGAACCAAAAGTTCCAGGAAGTCTATAGCCACCGAATAGAACCATCATTAAACTCAAAAGTCTTTTGAGTAAAAGTGAACAACTTGGGAACTGGAAGCTACATTACCATAATTAGCTACCAAATAGAATTACCATTAAGACGAGCTTGTAAGTCTTTAGAGCCTCTAATTCAAAATACATTCAGGGTTCTTTCATCTAGGGATCCCAATTTTAAGAAAGGAAATGGATTGCAAGTGCACCCACTCCTCAATACAATTACATAAAAGGGAACATAACACATAATAGTAAAACATGACTATGACCATAAGTAACTAATTCATAAATCTTCCAAAATTCAGTTTCATGCTCGATACCACATAACAGCAAGGCCTATATCTTAAAAAATTTATACCCAGAAATCCCCAAAACTGGCTTTGTGGACTTGGATTCTTAACTGCCCTGACTACTCGACCAATACCTCATAAACAAAATCACCAAAGTGCAGATACTAATACTAAGTTTTACTGGTACAGGAAATAGAACTAAATAAAAATATGTACCTCCAACACAAGTCTGTGCAAGTACGGAGATGCCTTAATGAAAGAAGCCAACTGTAGAAGGATGAAGCAATCATTTGCTTGAAATTTTAGTTCCAATTGCTTGAGATTTGCTAGTACAGGAAATACATGATTCCTTTCTTGGAACTGAAAACCAAACAAACAAGGACTAAGGCACTAACAGAATCCAACAAGAAGAAAGTAAAACCAACATTTAAAACTTAGATATACTAACCAGAAGTCCGTTCAGTTTGAGAATCTCTAGCTGAGAAAGACAGCATGAAAGTTGGGTGAAGGCATCCCCTATGCTCTTATAGGAATAATCACATACCTCAACAAGATGTGGTAGATTCCTAAGAAGCATGTTTATCTCACATCCAACATAAATAAACGAGACTAGGTTTGTGTCACATATCTCAATGCTTACGAAGCTGGAACATTGCTCTATCACTAAGTACTTCAATGAAATCGATGGACCAACAACTCTTAGATTGCGTAAATTTGGTGAATCATCCACTAATAATCGTTCAAGAACAGGACAGTTGGACAAGAAGTACTCAAGAACTTCTTCCTCCACATCAACACTTTTGAAATTAAGAACTGTGAGGGACTTAAAGCCAATGCATGCACAACGGTGGAGACTTGGAATATCAGAACACAAGTGCTTAGAAGTGGACTCTTTTTTTATACCTAAAAGTTCATGGGGAAAAATGTAGCACGGAAAGAACTTCCGAGGAAAAACACCATATGATAACAAGTCCAACTCAAGCATTTTAACTCCCTTTTCCATTGCAAATTGAATCCATTTATCAAGGGAACTTGAAAATTTAGGATCGAGATCGAAACAAATCCTGAATGTTTCAACCACTGGGCCTCGATGATGTTCCACCACATTATTCACCCAATCAACGTACCTACAGATTAACAAGTCTCGTGCTCCTATTATTCACCCAATCAACGTACCTACAGATTAACAAGTCTCGTGCTCCTGCTCGCACGTTAGACAATCTGCATAAAGTTTTCTCAGCATCAAAGTCGAGAGTCCTAGTAGATGCTAACACATGCCGCCACAGATGCTGCCATCGCCTAGAAAGGACACTGGTAGCTTGTGCTTCCTTTAGTGACAAGTGAGACAGTATACTAACAAGTACTTCATTTGGCAAACTACTAATTCTGTCCAAGCCCAAAATGTTGTTGCATTCATGCTTATTTTTCTTTCTATCTCTCAAGTTGTAACCCCCCTATGAAATGAATGGAACCACACAACAACAAAAAGTCAATTAGGATTAAGGAGAGTAACGAGGTACTCTTCTCTCTTTCAAAATTCCCTTAAATTATGAAATCTATTTTACAGAAGAGACCCAAATAAAAATCAATACAATCAGAAAAACAAAAGCCAACCCAACCAGAGGAAATGATGCACTCTTTGATAGAAATTAAGGAGAGAATTTAAACAAAAAGCTTCTTTTTTGTACTAGTTAGAGATATATGGGAAGAAAAAAGATGCAAACTTGATAGTATTTTTACCTGTTCTTGGGCAAATTGAGAAGTTGGTCGACGCACCCTTTTCTTCATTGAATCTGACAGTGGTTTTTTCCTCTTTGAAAATCTTAACCCGAAAAGGGTCTTCTTCTAACTCACTGCTACAGCGGGCAAGCGAGTCAGCGAGTGGAAGACGAGTTTGTGATTTTGGGAAGAGGTTGGTATTGGGTTTAGGTCTTACTGTACTGTGTCGTCTTCATCTCTCTCTCTCTCTCTCTCTCTCTCAATAATAGCCAAGTCTTGTTGGACTTTCTCTGTGCTTTGTCTGGTTTGGAGGGAGGCCCAGTTGGGCCCTTTTTGCATTCTTGTTTCCTTATATTAATTGTTGTTCAGCATAGTTTATTAAATTTAATTGGAAAGAAAATACAGTTTTTTTAGCTGGAAAAAAAAAAACTTGGCTCTGGAGCTCCTCCTTACCAATATGGTTTTGACAATTGTCAAATTCGTTTAACTTTTCTCCTCTTTACCAATATGGTTTTGACAATTGTCAAATTCGTTTAACTTTTTTTTTTTTCTTGGAAAGTTTTTCAATTTTACTAGAATTTTACAAGACGATTGCTGATTCGTGACATCAAACACCCAATTTGTGGCCATATAAACACTGGATCCCACCAATTCTTCCATTAAATTGTTGTGAAATAGACCGAACATGGGAGTACAGGTATGCCACAAAGATCATTTGCAATAATTGTAGGCATTCACATTTATATTGCAACAGAAATCATGTGTTTTTTTTTCTTCAAACTTTACACATATTTCCTAATTGGCTAAAATGCCAACTTAATAAATAAATAAATAAAATAGATAATAAAATTCCATAACATTCAACTGAAACCTACATCAATAAAAAAGAAAACAAATTAACGAAGACCAACACAAAAATCACTCCAAGAACAGGAGAAAGGTGTATAAATTCCACATGTTGTGGACAACCCCTGTACATTGCTGAGCCTAACAAGCCGAGGACTAGGAGTAAAATTTAATTAAGTATGCCCCTCAAATTCCAACTCCAACTCCTCAAAATAAAAAAACCATGAATCTTGATCCTCTTACTTTCAAATCAACTAGTTAAATATTTTTTCGATCTGGGTGATTTTCAGAGAGATGATCTACAAATTAAGACATGAAAATTAGACATTTACATTATTGAAATATATTGCTGAGTGAAACCCACAAGAGTGCCCCTCAAATTATTTAAGGGATCTCTTAATTGAAGCCCCAAAACAACTCTTAATATATTCACATGAGTTAAATGGGTACCTTGGCATGCATGTTCTTGGTTAGAAGCTCTCGAGAATCAACACCCATATTCTAACAACTCCAGCTAAAAAATATAGCATTTGAACTCTTCTTTCTATCATTGAAAATTGAATCCATTTATTAATGGAACTTGAAACTTATCATCTAGGTAAAAAAAAGCCCCTAAATTGTTCCATGACTGAGCCTCTATGCTGTTAGCATTCACCCAATCGACGTAACAAGGCACTTCAGGCTCTTCTGCTTTTGGTTCTAGGTCAAGCAAACTGCACAAAGCTTTCTCAGCCTCAAAGTTGAGAATCATAGTAGACGCCCAAACATACCGCCATCGCCTCGAAAGGACACTAGTAGCTTGTGCTTCCTTCAGCGGCAAGAGAGACAGTATACTAACTAAAATTGCATCTGGCAACTCACTGATTCTGTCCAACAACTTGTTGTGGCCATGCTTACTTCTCTTTCTCTTTCTCAAGTTATTGTAACCACCCTATGAATATGAATTGAACCACAAACAAAAAGAGAAAAAGAAGTTATGTAATCTTTGTTTCTTTCATGATAAATAAAGAGAGAGAGAGAGAGAAAAAATACAGTTTAAGTTTTTGTTACCTGGTACTGGAGAAACTGAGAAGTTGGTCGAGGCCTCTTTTTTTCCATTAAATCTGAGAGTGGTCTTTTTCAAGGTCTCACGGATATAGCGATGGTGCCGAGTAACAAGCATATATAGTTAGCGATTTTGGAACTTGTTTATTTTATTTCCTTTTCTTTTTGGGTTTTCTCAAAATTATTAGCACAACTGATTGAGGAAACTATAAATTGATTTGAGCGCGATCATTAATTTGATTCGATATTGATAATTGAAGCCCCAAAAGGGAAACACCATTAAGCACTTGTAGGGAAGGAAGTCTTGCAGCTTAAAAAAAATCAGAATGTTAGGGGGGTCTATTCAATTAAGATTTTAAAAGAGTTAAATGGAGTTATAAAGTTTATTGAGTTCAATGTAGTTCAATTGATTTCTATCAACTCCACGTAGAGTTTGAATATGTACAGCAGCAAATATTTACAGCAACAAATATGTTGATGTTGATCTATATATGACGATGGCAACAACAACAACCATTCAAGCAATATGGTGATGTACATCGATTACATGCCACGTGAAGATTATATATACATCGATATATATATATATACGCTATTGTTCATCGAAATATGGTGATGCAGCAACAACAAATATTCAAACACACGATGAAAGATCATACATACATAAATCCATTTGACAAGCACACACGTTCAAGGACTGGAAAGCGTAGAGCATGTTCAAAGTTTCTAGGGTTGACATAAGATTTGTCAGGGCCTTTTTTATATATACTTACCACTTTAATTTCTAACGAAATCGGGCAACTTATTAATTCCTTCAAAATAAATTACTTTTTGAATACACCTAAATTTTGTTTGATTTTTAAAAAGTCATAATTGAATACACCTAGAATTCGATGTATTTTTTTATTATCAATTGAAATCTGAATTGAATACACCCAAACTTTTAAACTCTTTTAAACTCTTTTAAAATCTTAATTGAATATACCCCCCTTAATTAATAGGCAAAAAGTTAATTTTGGTTCCTGTAATTTGTCACTTTTACTATTTTGGTCCATGTCGTTTTAATTTGATCAATTTTGTCCTTGTACTTTTAATTTCAAGCAATTCAAGGATAATCGTGATTTTCTGTCAAATTCTTTTAACGCTCATCATGTTTTGGTCATGTGCCCCTCACATGGAGGGGCAATTTCGTCAAATTGTGCCCACCTAAAAGTTGCCCTCTCTCCTTTCATCTTTAGATGTGACTTTGGGATTGTGGGAGACGATTCTAGAAGATGCCCATTTTGCAATGGTGAAATGAGAATAGCAATTTCAAAGACTGATAGGAGTCGTGGAGGACGATTTTGGAAGTGCAATACATCATATGCAATGTAAAAAAAAAAAAATATATTATGTGATTTTTTTGGATATAAATGGGGTATGTGTGTTTCAGTGTTGTTTTTGCATATTTGAACATGGAACACTTTACTGTGCTCGATTTCTATGGGATGATGAGATCAACAATCGCCATATGATGAAAGACAAAGAACCAATTAGATGAGCTGAAGAAGATGAAGTGAAAAGCCGAAATCATAATCCGACAAACCCACCACTCCAGCAATAACTCACCAAAACAATTGAATAAAGAATGCATTGAAAGCCCATACAACTTGGAATATTGAAAGCCCCCAAACAATTGAATAAAGATCCCAAACCAACTTGAACCTAATTTAAAAATCGAGCTCTCACCTTGTTTATCCCCGTATCCACTGCCTTCACCTGTCTCCGTTATTGTTGATGCTGTGAATGTCTGAATCCAACATAAGAGAAGTGTTTCGAAATTTACCAAATTGTATTCAAACCCTAATCGTAGTTTGCCTAAAGTTGCGACTCGCATATAATGAAGAGAGGCGCATCTTTTCTTTTTTTTGTTTTTCTTTTCTAAAGAGAGAGGGCAGCTTTTAGTTGGGCACGATTTGATGAAATTGCCCTTCCACGCGAGGGAACACAACGAGCGTCCAAAATTTTTGACAGAAAATCACAATTGTTCTTGAATTGCTCGAAATTAAAAGTACAGAGACAAAAAATTGACCAAATTGAAACGACAGGGACTAAAGTGGTAAAAGTGGCAAATTACAAGAACCAAAAATGACTTTTTGCCTAATTAATATGTACTGATGAGTTGGCTATTGGCTATTGGCTAATGGGAGAGTAAGACGTGTCTTGTGAAATTATCTTGT